AGTGACAATGAAAGGTATGTTAGTGAGGTTAGAGATACAACAGAGTTTGGAGAAGATGAGGATTAAACTGTTGCTGGCTTGATGGGTAGGGGAATAAGACTACTGTGTGAATCCCATTGAGATGGTCATAGAGAGGAATTTAAAGGCCTCTGATTATTCAGTACATTGGTATATGTCATAATCTCCAAGGATAATGAAGGGAGTGCTGAATGACCAGAAGAAGACAGAGAAGACAGAGACAGAGAAGGTTTACAGGACAAGACCAATGTGTAGCGAGAAAGGTTGAAAAAGACACTTTGGCATTGACCTTACAATAGGAGAAATAGATTGAACATATAGAGGGAAGATGTTAAAAGTTACAGTGAGGTGAAAAAAGGAAACCCACACTGCCATCCCATGCAATCACCAAGTATGGAAGTATGTGGAGGCAGTCATAAGACAGGGAGGCAAGGGGTAGCACAGTCCTAGGGGTGAGATAAGTTTCAATGATGGCCAGGAGATGGAGGGAGTGGGAGATAAAGAAGTCATGAATGAAAGCTGATTTGGCAATGCTACACAGAACACGCGTTCCTTAAACTCTCTAGATTACTATCTTAAATCAGTACTGAAAGGGTTAAATCAATTAAACTCACCTTTATTCCAATCCTAGGGGGGTCTCCTCACTGTATGTCTGATCCTAGTCCTCTGAAGTCATTGTTAGTGATGACATGTCTAATCAAATGCTGCTCATTAGGAAGCATTGGGACACACCAACAACACTTTTCATAGAAAAGCACTCACTTCCATTTTGAACTATACCTCAGTGCAAGTGGGACAGGAAACAGCTTGACAACCAGAAGGTGCTACTAGTAGAATTCATAAAAAAAAATAACATAAGACTGCAGGGACATGTATTTAACCTCTAAAGCATGCAGCATGGTAAAGGGGTTTAGGGGTGTGGGATATTTTTATTTAGCATACTTAGGAACTAGTGCGGCTCTATCGCATTCAGAGACACATCCATTTCTTAACCCCAATGGTTCTCTGTTTCTTTCTGGATGGAAAGAACAGCCTTGAAGCAGTTCTTATATTGTCCTTATCTTGACCAACGTTGTACCTGATCTTTTTTACGAGTGCAAATTCAGGATTGTCTTTGTAATAATTTTGTTGATCTTTCATGTGTACTGTTTTTTGTTTCTTTTTCATATGTCTTATGTGAATACATCAAATGATACCTATGAGAGCATAAATAACAATTTTCTTTTCTTTTTGCATTGGTTGAGGTATTAAATAAGTAAAACGGATTGTGAAAAGGTTAAAAAGTCCTTGTGTATGCATTGTCAGTATTCTAGCCCATCTGCATGTTCTGTGTTCTAGAATATGCCATTATTAAGTGTATAGGTTACTGAAGGTTATATAATAAGCTAGATAGAAGCCACATCTGTGAAATGTAATAAAACAGTATGGACTGACCTGACAATGTTTTTAAAAACTCATAGTGTTGCGATAATAAAATATCATGGGTTGAATGGGTTGAATGGGTTTCAAGTTTTTTTTTTTTTACGTCAACATAAGTATTCTAATTAACCAGGTAGTTAAGACTATGAGTTTGTTTTACCAGTGTGGTAGGTAATTAGGCAATTGCTACAAAATTATGAAAACAAGTTATCATTTCTAAAATGTTAAGTAAACATAAAGTGAAATTATGAATTGTCAGAGCTGTGTTGATGAATTGCCTGACATTTAATGCTTGGTGGCCTTATCTGGTATTATTGACACGCTGTCACATGACATAAACGCAGAGTGGATATTGTAGAGACAAATGAGTCAGGAATTTCTATCTCAATAGGAAGTACTTTATTTGTGTACTGGGAATTAACAGATAAAAATTGCAAGCCATCATCACTTCTTACTTCTATAGCATTTACTGTATACCAGCTTGAGTGTAACCTTTTTACGATAAATTGCAAATAGCAATAACAATAATAATGTAAAACAACTTTGAGATAACCCAATGATGACATTCATTTATAATATACACATGATAAAAAAAAGTTATTTAATAAGCTTGTGATTCTATTTAATTTATGGTTTTAATTTGTGCCATAAGATTTGGTGTGTCAGAGGGATTTCATGTTTTCTATAATTCTTTGCCTTTCCATTAGTCATCAGGTAACTCCCCAACAAGCCCATTAGCACTTATTTATTTCTTTATAAGTGTACAACACACATGTTGCATGACTCAAGCAGTCCTTACCAAAGTCTGTGTCTGGCCAGATTCTTCAGTGGTGTGGCAGAACACTGTGTGTGTAGATGGCAGGTGCATGATGGAACATCAAATGCCAGTTCTCTTTCTCCCACACAGCACCAATGACCTAAACTGCACTGATGGGGTTGGAGAGAGAGGGTACCACTACACTACATACACTACACAAATACCTCCATGTTCACATACACTACTACACTACACTTCCAAATTCATTAACGTTACTACACTACAAAATTCCATCCTCATTTATAAACAGACACAATAGACTCACTACAAAAATACACACTCACATTCACTGGCATTTGCATACTGACACACATGTTGAACGATATATGCCCCCACATTAACACACTACCATATTACACAAGCGCATCGCCCTATTCATACACACTGTCATGCTGTGTAAATACATCCACATATTAGCACACAAAACACAACCTCATTTATACACACTGCCAACTACACAAATACATCTAAACAAGATGCATATTTAAATACAAGAAGGGAAGGGTTTCAAGGAGAAGTGGGGAAGTGAGATGGGGAGGGAAAAAAAGAGCGAAGTAAAAGAGATGGTAGTGCCTTAGGGGAATAGAAGAGTACATTCCCACACAGGGGGCACCCCAACCCAGGGGTCCCAGACTTTGTAAGACTGGGACGAAAGGCCATTTCCAATGTTTTGTAATATACAGTCTATTCGCTGTGCATATCCTAAAAATCTATTTATTGTGTTCAGATGTAAGGTCCTAAGAGCATAATGGCAGTGAAGTAAGGCAAGTTAAGGGTTACTTTATCCAAATTCTGCTAAAGGCAGCTCCACCACCTACCTGTGTCTATTGGAACCCTCTTGGCCACCCCAATGAAAGCATAACAAAGAATAGGATAGATATGTCATAGTCTAATGAGGGGGAGGGGGCTAAATACCATCTTGCTAGTGTAATAAAAGCTTTCACATACAAAAATACATACTTTTTACATTGTGAATCCGCATTCCCAAAACATTTTGTGAATCCGCATTCCCAAAACATTTTGTAAATCCGCATATCCAAACAAAGCATCAATTTCTTTTATTTTACTTATACATTATATTTGTCTTTTTATTTTATTTTATTTATTCTGAATATGTTTTAAGGAATGTGAACTAGTGGAAAACATGTAATCTCTTAAAATGTATGAAAACAACATATAACTCTAAATGTAGCTGATTTAAATGTTGGTTCCCTTCTCTCTCCTATCAGTGTTAATGTTGCTGTTACTGGTGGTGTAACATGCCTTCTAGCAACAATGACATTTAAAACCTGCTGAATCGGATATGAAGTCATATCTTTTATTAATTGTGCTGGCAAAACCCTCCAGCAAATGTAGAGATCGCTTCCTCATCAGTAACAAAGGGGTTAATTACTTTTATTTCTCTTTAAAAGGATGCTGGATACTTGCTCTCTGCATGGTTTTTATGTTTTTTTTTTCTGCTTTATTTAGCATTAGAGCTAAGTAAAGTGTGAGAAACAAAAAATGACCTCAGTTGGTTTGCTGTATGAAACTCCATATAGTACAATATGTGGGATGTTTAAAAAACATCCCAAACATTAGCATTCACAAATGGCCTTTAAAACCATTTTTAAAGGCCATTTTTTTTTAATGAAAAATAAAATCAGCTGTACTTTTATCCCCATCTATGGAATCCCCACCGTTCAGCATAATGTAGGAAATTACATTTTCAAAAGCAATCTTGAGAAAGCAATAATGTGTATTGAAATAATACAGCAGAATCTCCCATGCATTGTCTGCCTGCTTTGTGTATTAAACACAACAGTTTTTTTGTCGTCAGCTTAATCTGCAGACATGTGCGGTGTCTGGAATAGGGATGTTCTCGAATCCTAACTCACATGGAGGACCAGACTGTGCATCCTCGTGCCGGGAGCTCAACCTAATTCTAATCATGGTCTTCCCTACTTTGTTTCATCAACTTCACATTAAATCCTAAAGCGCTTACAGCTGATGCTGACCTGACCGGTGAGTTGAGCTTTCAGATGCCACATAACAGTTTGCTATGATAAACTGATTTCATGTTCTATTTAAACTTGCTGTATCGGTATACAGGTGTTCGTACAGAACAGCCTGTCCAATGTGACTTTGCTGTGAGTTGATTGAAAGTGACTGTAAGCAGTGATATAGACAGATATGATAGATTGTTATCCATTTTAATAATCATTCATGCTCAAATACAAAGTGTTTTTTTTCATCTTTATTTCATCATTAAATAATATTTTTTGTTCAAATACAATATTTGAGAGATTGGGGAAATATTGATTAACTATACATACACATAAAATATATACAGTGTTACCCGTTGGGAGGGGATTGAATAGACTCGTGTTTATAAGGCACATGTAGTGAAATCAGAAATAACACAAAAACTTAGTGTTAATTTTAATGATTAAAAAAATTACAAAATTCAATGTAATATAGTCAATCAAAAATATGAGAACTCTGAGAATGGACAAACGCTTAGAGAAACTCAATAGAGGGCCCTTTGTTAACCCCCTGCTCTGGTCTCAAAATAGTTTTTGAAAATAGTGAACCTATTTTGCATATCAGACTGATCCCACCCATAAGGGCAGTCCAGAACCAGAAAGTTCTCGCTGCACAGGTGATACAGCAACCCCTGATGATCATTTTGGCCTTTTTGAGCCTCATAAGTGAGGTGTAGCTGATACCCCTCAAGGCACAGTGAGCACAGGGGTCCATGTCTGGATTACCCTTTCATCAAAGGGAGGGCCCAAGTTAATGCATTGCAACATCAGTTATCAGTATCAGTTACACCTCGCTGAGAGGCCTATAGAAGGCTAAAACAATTGTCTGGGGCTGCTGTATCTCTCCGGAAAAGCAAACTTGCTGGAATTTCAGTTCTGGACTGCCCAGTGGCAGAACTAATATACTAAGAGCCCTGTGTGGCAAAAGGTAGTTCCCTATCTGTCGTACAATTCTCAGGAAACTAAGTCTGCTGAGAATCTGTTTATTGCCCATCCCTGTAGGGTTGTATTTGTGAGCAGTGTTTGTTTGAATGTAGTAATGTTTTTGTATGGAGTATGTGAGCATATAGGGGTGTATATGTATATACCATTGCCACTGGAATTCTATGTAATGTTTGTGTTTAAATGTAGGGGTGTGTTTGTATGTAGTGTTGGCTTTTAAATGCAGGTGTAAATTTGTATGTAGTATTGCTGTTTGAATTAAGGGGCTTGTTTGTATGTAATCATTGTATGATTTTGGTATTTTACTGAGGGGGTATGTTTGTATGTAATTGTGTTAGATTGCAAGGACATATTTGCATGCAGTGTTGGCATTTGATTTCTGGGATGTATGCACCTACACTCATACACATATTTCCAAAGAGATACACATACACATTGAGATACACACACAGATGCACACACTGGCATATACACACTCACACAGATGCACAATGACATATGCACACACATACTGACACACACCTAAATACACACACACTAACACACACATTGTATGTGCAGGAGGGTGGCTTCCCCGGGGTCCTGCTGCTGACTGAAGAGAGTGTGGGGCTGGCTGGAACAGGGTCTCTGCCTCCTCCTCATTTCTTCTCTATATAAAGCTAGAAGGAAATGACATGCACTCACTTCCTCCCACTGCTGCCAATACTACAGGAGCCTGGTTGCCATGGTATCCAATCAGACCCATGTTCAAAAATAGTCATTGGTGGGCCCTAAGTGCATGTGTTGTTCCTCTTTTGCTACTGGGACTGCCCTTATAGATGTGATCAGTCTGATTTGCAAATGGTTTGGGTTCACTCTGTAATGGCACAAATGAGAAAAGCTATTTTGAGCCCTAAGCAGGGATTTACCGAAGGGCAAGCTATTGAGTTTCTTTAAGTCTCTGTCGGTTCTCAGATTTCTCAGATTCTCTGTTGTAATATAGTCATAGTATAGTCGTAGTTATAATCTTATAATGCAAATGAGTTGGATAATTTTTCAAAATAATTTATTTTGACTTATAGTTAGAATTTAGCTTTTCAGTTCACCATAATTCTCTGTTTAGTGGTTAAACTCTTTAGACATGTAAATTCTACAGTGAGTTTTTAATGCTATAATTGCTCACATATTCACAAAATAGAATTGATTTAACACACTGACTGATCTCACACTAATAATACATGGTGAAGTGTTTTATTTAATAAGCTATAAGCTTACTTGGGTATTTTTTAATTCACTATTTTCCACAGTAATACTACTATACTTTCTATTTAAATTTGTGTCAGTTTTGCAGTTTTAGAAAATAAGAACACTACAGAGCTTTTCCCCCTCTCCCGCATCATTGCTTTGATATTTTTCTGTTCAAGCTCTTTAGTACAAGCTTTTCTAAATCCCTAATTTAATTAATACTTGGATGCCAATTAAAATGTATTGCATCATAAACGAAACACTGTATGTTCATAATTGAACTTTTGCCTATCATACAGATTATAATCGTGCAATCATATTCATAATATGATTATTAATTTTTTGACACAAGGTGGCATAAATCAAAACTGTGCCCAAGACCTATCAATAGGGCCTGATTCGAGCATATTTCAAGTCTACTTTTCGCAATGAAGATTAACTCACTTGTGCTAAAGCAAAAATATACAGCTCAAGCATTTTGAGAATAGGGTGAAACTTAATATAAATGAAAATTCTTTTAATATGAACCCCTAATATGTGGTTTTCATAAATTTTTTTGTTTTTAGATTACTTTTTTTTTTTTTGGTCAGTCTGTTGTTATTGTCAGTCAAAAGGGAAGACATGCATGACAGAAAGGAAAACAGCAATCCATAACAAAACTAGCATAGCATATCATAAATGACATTATGGGGTATAACTGGACTGAGGGTTTTATAATAAGATATAAAGAAAAACAGTAGCTAAACATCTCAGATGAACTAAGCCTACTACCCTTTGTATGGAAATTATCAGTATAATCAGTGGTTGCTGCGGGGAAGAGAAGGCTATGTGCCTTTTGAAAACATTGAGTGTGGGGCAGGTAATAACATCTGTAAACAAAGAGCAAGAGGCTGACACTCACTCTAATATGCTACTAAATGCTTAAAACAGTGGGAAGGGGGTGGGCGGTGGAGAGAGAGGTACTTACAACCCAAAGCAGGCGGGAGGAAATTTGGCGGAACGTGTCTCAAAGGACAGCTGTCAGACCTCATAGTATGCAGGAATAGGTAACTAAGTAACAAATAAACGGTGTGCTACATTAAATATGAACTTAGATAAAAGCAAAACTATTAGCAGCGTGTGGTAGCAGTGAACGTTCAAGCTATCCCGGTGGTAGCGGGGTTGTTCTGTTAGATAGCTGGAATAAACAGGCGGATTGTGGCCAGGTCCCATGTCATCGACTGTGACTTAGACGCTGGTGGCTGCGGCCCCTTCTCAGCTAGGGGAAGTCCAAGTTGTTGGATCAACACTGTGGTCAATGGTCTCAGGGACCTCCGCCATTCCATGGCGGCCCGAGATATGTCAGGATACAAGAGCAAGGAATGTCCCTCAAATTGTTGTGGAAAGGTGTACTGCGGACAGGAAAACTTGCTTGTCTGGACCGTGTTGAAAACGTTTGCTGGGCGGTTGCCTGGGGTTGTGGTAGCCTGTAGCACCCATCCAGAATCATATCTTTGGCTTGTTTGGGGGGAAATAGACTGGATAGCAGTCTCCGAATGAGGTGGAGGATTTCCACCAATGTAACACTCTCAGCCAGTCCCCTTATTTTGACATTTTTCTATCGCCTGCAATCCTCCATGGCCGCAACTTGGTGCTGGGTTTGGGTCAAATCTTTCTTGATCATTGTCACCTGATTCTCAAGGTTAATAATGCGGGCCTCGTGCTGCAGTGCTGTTTTGTGTCATGTAGTCGCACTGACACTCCACGAATTTCCTCCTCAAATGAATTTATGTCTGCTGTGATATGGTGGCAGAGGTCATCTTCTAGGGCCTTCAGTCTTTCTTCAATAACTGGGGGGCAGCCCTGCACCTTAGGCTTGAATGCTCTCCGTGTCTCAGCCATCAGTTCCAGGTTGGAGAGCGATTCTTCGCTGGATGTTCGGTTCAGAGAGCGGCGCCGTGACAGGCCTCGAGGATGCTTGTGGCCTCCACAATAGTTTGTCCATATCGGCGGTGGATGGGGGCTTTTCCACCCGGTATTTTTTGCTTTTGCGCCCCCTTACTTGGCAAGTCAGGATGCATGTTGTTGGAGCTGGTGTGGTAGGTATAATAGGGGAAAACAGCGTTTTTATCCCCGGTTTCAACGGAGCGCATGAGAGACACGTCCGTTCCGTGTGGCTGTTGGCTCTGCCCCCTTTAGATGACATTTTGTGGACATACTTTTTCTTTTTTTATCCAAATCCAAAGCAACACATTTTCAAAAAATTAATTCCCAAAAGAAAAACATGTATAATAAAATTATAAAGTGCGTTTGTATGTTGCGTGCACAATCTCCATTTTTGTTGCAATCACCACATGGCAAAATGTAGTGTGCATGTGTTTTAGGACAGCGTCTAGCTTTGTTAAGATATTCCTGCCTTTGTTCACATATTTCTTTGCCTTCAAAGTGTGCTTTTGTCCACATACAGTGGCTATTACACAGTGTCATGCTTTTCTTAGTCACCTGTTACTTTCCTTTGGCTCTAATAATATGGTCACGTTGTATTTATTGCTTTACATCTGGACGCAGCATCCTTTCCACACAGATAATAGACTGTACAAAATTCAGTCATTGCATGACTCAAACACTTGCTCGGAGTACAATTAAATAGGTCTGTAAAAGAGAAACGCATTAAGGCACAGTGCAAAGCAGCTTATTTCAGGTCCAATCAGTACCTGTATGGCTCCAATAAGCAGTAACGACAACAGCTCCAGCAGAACTATAATTGTTCATGCATTAAATTGCTCATTTTCTATATTGCTGCCCAGTGTTGGAAAGCGTATGACATTAGCTGTCTAAAGAAAGTGTGTCTGTTAGTTTTATCAGATTTATTAGTGGATTAAACAACTACATAACTGACAAAACAAGCCAAACGAAAACTCCTGTTATCTCAAAACATTGCATTACCTCTTTGAAGGCCAGAGGGGTGTGCAGCAATATAAGACACACTGCCATGATCACACTGTTAACGGAAATAAAAAGGATTTCATCTGGCGATAGCATTCATTTCTACTAAAATTATTTCAGACAAGATATTCACTGTACGCAAGGCGAACTAAGAAGGAAGAAGGAAACAAGCACAAAAACAACTATCAAAAACAAATCAAAATTTCACAGCATATAATCATGTAGGTAAATTCCAGGCTGAGCAGAATCCATATTTTTATTGAATAGTAAACAAACAGATAGGAATAATGAGCATTTGATTGTAGATACTTTAAATTGTGAGCTATTTTGAGTCTCACGTGGACAACTATTAAAGGACCACTCTAGGCACCCAGACCACTTCAGCTTAATGAAGTGGTCTGGGTGCCAGGTCCAGCTAGGATTAACCCATTCTTTTATAAACATAGCAGTTTCAGAGAAACTGCTATGTTTATGAATGGGTTAAGCCTTCCTCCAATTCCTCTAGTGGCTGTCTCATTGACAGCCGCTAGAGGCGTTTGCGTGCTTCTCACTGTGATTTTCACAGTGAGAGCACGCAAGCGTCCATAGGAAAGCATTATGAATGCTTTCCTATGCGACCGGCTGAATGCGCGCGCAGCTCTTGCCGGGCGTGCGCATTCAGCCGACAGGGAGGAACGGAGGAGGAGAGCTCCCCGCCCAGCGCTGGAAAAAGGTAAGTTTTTCCCCCTTTCCCCCTTCCAGAGCCGGGCGGGAGGGGGACCCTGAGGGTGGGGGCACCCTCACGGCACTATAGTGCTAGGAAAACGAGTATGTTTTCCTGGCACTATAGTGGTCCTTTAAGTATACAAGATTCTCTAGACACCCAGTTTTTATTTGTATCTCTCCTCCCACAGCCTGTGGGGGGACAATGCTCTATTGTGGTTATGGTGCTTGGCGTGTTCCTTTAACCTAAACAACAACATGCCTGCAGAGAACCTCCTAACCAATATCTGAAATAGTATCCCCCATGTTATGAACCTTTCACATTTATTCAAACTCATTTCAGTGTTTTTTGTGTGAAGAGTATTTCCTCCTTGTTTCTCTTTTTTTTCATGCTGACCCCTTTATAAATTAACCATGATACATCCCTGGCCTGTCAATCAGATAACAGGTCCTGTTACTTCCTGGTTTGTTTAGCTCAGTGGAGGATTTGGTCTGCCCTACTAATTCTGTAACATTGGTTTAGATGAGGAAATCAAGGTGAAAGAAAAATCAATTCTGGTGACAGTTGTCCTTATCCTTTAACAATGTTTCTAGTTTGCCTATTTGTACTTTTGATGTGAAATTCACTTTGTATTCTCACTTCAGTAAATTACCCTGTTAATTTTTAAAGTCAGTTATCCCCTTATAACAAATCACTGCTTAGTGAATAAATCTCTGAATAAATTATAGGTAAGTTCACAAGGCTCTTGAGTTTTTAAATGTGTGTAATAAAACTCCAGTTTAAATAATGCAAATCACAAATTAATTAATTTTGCATGTACTTTTTTTTTTTTAATCTCTCACAAGTATGTCTCATTTTTTTCTAGAATTTGTGAGATAAGCCATATCTCTAAATAACATTTAAACTATGCAGTTTTCTAATCATATTTAAAGGGTCGAATATCCGTCAACTTAGAAGTGCTTAAAGAAATATTTCAAAGGAATCTAAATGAAATAAGGGAAAGGGTCTTGGCAGTTTGAGGTTGATGAGTGTTCATTAAAATATTATCTGAGAGCTACTTTATATAACAGCCTTCAAAAGGTTTGTTCTCTTGTTGCTCATTCAGTAGAGGTGCTGTACAGCTTCAAAGTGACTTACACGCTGCAAAACAGAGTAGGGAGATATATGCTATTTAAAACCGGCATCGATTGGCAAACCCTTTACTCCCCAGAAGGGTAAGGGCTGTTTTTGCATCTAATATGCTGACAAAAGGCTACAATCACATTGTAAAACATGAAGTAGACACATCACAAAAATACTTTACACTGTTCAGCATAAAATATAGCAAATGCTGTATTAACCTTTTATATTAAAGCAGGTTTATTTTTATTTTTTTAAATTTCCATCTAATTGCTTTGAAACTGTGAGCTATGGGTAATATGTTATAATGTTAATTCCAAACCATAAGTGTCAAAATAAAGTCCTTTAATCCCTTAAGGACCAAACGTCTGGAATAAAAGGGAATCATGACATGTCACACATGTGTGTCCTTAAGGAGTTAAAAGCTACCTTTGAAATGCTATTAATTTTAATTTCAGTGCTTTTGTTAGTAGTGTTATATATTTGTGGTTAGGATTTGGAGTTTAGTTCAGAAATCAGAGTTAATTTTATGGGTTAAAATTTAGGGTTAATGGCTCAGTTGGGACTAGAGGGGAACTGTTAGAGGTACATACCTTGTCCACACTCACCCAATGTAAATCAAACCAAAGTAAATCTCTTCTATGATCATCATGGCTATCACGTAAAAATATATTGGCCTACTCTTATTATGATGTGACAATACCATATGACTACACTAAACCACTTTGTTACGGTACCTTCAGCATAAAATGTACAAACCGCCGTTTAGTGAATGCTCCCCGTTCGCAATAATGTTGGCTGTAAGCGTATCCAATACAACCATGCGAACCGCCAGCAAGGGAACACTCCAAACTCCCGAATGGTATCCGTACGGTCACTTCCCTCCACGAGCCTCAAGCTCACGAACCGGCAATATCCGCCGAACGCCGGTATCTCCCAAGTGGCTGATAATTCCAAATAGCAGTCTCTAGTCGCCGGTAATAAAATCCCCCCAATAACGAGACCAAGCTCCACATTGAGGGTAAAACACGAACTGAGTTTATTGGGGGCTACCTGCCCGTATTTATGCAGGTCTCCCACTTGGTGGACACTCCACTAGGGGTACAAATGGGAGACTGGAATAGCAGATGGACATATGGCATTTCAGGACATACAGTCACACAATAGTCCGAGCATACATCACAGTTTCCTCCCCTCTGCCCGGGAGTTAATTGAGAAGTAATTCAATTATCTCCCAGAGTAGAGGCAAATCGTCATTTTAAATACAAATCATAAAACACATAAAAATATATAACTTTATAACTGGCGAATGTTTCTCATTCGTGTAACACATCCCCAGATAGCCTGGATCTGAGTGCATATTATTGGCGAATAGCGCTCAGATCCCATACACATAGTTCAATCGCCATGGAGTCAAAGTCTATTATAGTTCTTCGGTATGCGATTGACTCCATGGGAAGGCTATCTGGGGTAAGTCCATTCGTGCCTTTAAATCTCCCGAACGGCCGGTGTTCGCACACTTCTGTCGATTGGAGAAGGGAGGTCGACGGCATCAGCGGTGTTCGGTTGAAAAAGTGT